TTTCTACATAGGCTTAAGTAGTGACAAAGTTTTTTTTTTTTTTTTAATTTTTTAAGTGCTGTAAAAGAACAATTCATCAATCAAAGAGAAAAGCGTGAGGGTTATATATAGCATACTAATTGCGCCACAAAATCTGAGCAATCCAATAGTTTGGTAAATATTATAATCAAACTAGATTCTAGATCAACCGTTGAAATCACAAGTCAACATGATCTATTAAACTAATGGATGAAGGGGCACAATTGGTGCTACTTCTAAGTAAGGAACAATCTCTAACACTAGAACGACATGCTAAGAGCCAAGCTCATGTTGATTGTAGTGGATTGGAGAACAAAAATTATATGGCTTTGAAGCATGTTGAATACATTGTCTTTAAGGTGAATTTTGCCTCCACTTTACTAGAGTTTGCTATAGGGTTGATGACAAAATCACTCAAAATCTTAATTAGTAAATTTTCAAAACTTCTCTTTAGGATTTCAATGTGAAAGTGTGAAGTTGATTTTGAGAATGAAAAAGTGTGAAGTTGATTTTGAGAATGTAGAATTCTGAAGTTGATTTTGAGAATGTAAAAGTGTGAATTTGATTTTGAGAATAATGAGACAAAGGAGAGAATAGAAATCAAGTCTAGTTTTACGACTAATGAGATGCATGTATATTGAAAAAAAAAAAAATCGATTTTGGACACATGTAAACGAACAGACTTCTCTCTTGACTAAGCAGTTTATTAATTGCAAATATTTGTCGTCAATAAACTTCCCCTTTGGCCAAGTCAAGCAGTTTGTTAACTACTAATTTCTATTGAAATTTAAATTCAAGTTTCCAAACAATTATCTTTTTACCCCCATTTGATCCATTCCTTTACTCCGTTTCCATTCTTACTCCTTCCATAGTGTATGTGTATGTTATTATTACAATCTATAAAACTGATCATCAGCTCTAAACCACACTAAGTTAGAAGTTTTGCAAACATGCCTAACGCTGAAGCCTTTTGGTAAAGCTAAAAAGGCTCTTTTGCTAAATGTCCTATATATTTGATGTTTTATAACATTTATACGTTTTTTTGGTTTATACAGTTAGGCTGTTTTAAAGTTAGATTTTACATATCTCAAGATTAATGCTTTTTTTGGTAATTTTAGGGGAATATCCCTCATATTAGTTTGGTGTATTTAAAAAAATTAATCTTTTTAGGTATTAATCTTAAGAGTTGAGCCATGTTTTTGGCCTATATGACAACATTTGTTAATTAGTGAATTCAACTATTGGAGTTGTTATACAATTTATGCTTTTTTATATTTGATAAAAAATAATGTTAAAAAAAATAATTTAAAAATTGTCGACTAAGTGAGTTGTAACTTGTATTTCCTAAAGGCATTTGCGTGCATTGGGCTGAAATTAGCTTCCGAGTTTGCCCTAGTGGGCCAACATCGGACTATGAGTATGGCCATTTGTATTTAGTTGGCCATTTTCCTAAAATGTGGGACACCAAACAGCTTCTATTCTCTAAGACAGAATAAAAATGCAGTTGGGAACCAACTAATCAACTGCCACTCTTCCCTTCTTCAATAACTGTTTGAGTTTGACTGTTAATTTGAAACAGTCGGTGTTGTTGGGTCTTATGCCACCATTGACATCTACCTTCTACCTCTTTTTGAGATGGGGTTTCATTATTTAATTAAAAAATTAAAATACCTAAAAGATTCACATCTTAATCACATTGAATTCAACTAAAATAGATTAAAGAATGAGAAAAGGTCGTGAGAAGTTCATCCGTGTATCTTGATTTCGGCTAGATTTCTAGATGCAAGGAATACCCTCCTTTACAAAATCTACCATGCTCAAAATTCTCCCGTTCAATAAAAAAGAAATTTATAATATACTTACACACTCATATAAATAAAGTATTGAATGAAATTATAAATTGAACAAAATCAATTTAATATATATATATATATATATGTAGATAACCTTAGCGAAGTAATGGTATGAAATGTCTCATACGCAAAAAGTTATTCATTAACTTTCTAAAAAAATTAAAGAAGTATTTTGGTACCAATTACTAATTCAAGTTAATGTGCCACATCATCAATAACTTTTTTAAAAATTAAAGAACTATTTTGGTATAAATTTAATTTTAATTAATGTGCCACATCATTAAAGACTCATATGGTTGCCTAAAGGACCATTTTAGTAATAATCAAATTTGAAAGTAAAAGAACCAAAAAAAAAAAGTAATTAAAAGATGTCAAGGAACAAGTTTGGTAAAAAAGTTAATGATTTATTTAGTTAGAGGTTAATTTTATCGAAAAGTTTTTATTGATAAATTTGTTGGTAAAATACTATACGAAAATATAAAAAGTATTATATAAAAAATTAATAA